ACAGAACATCCCACACAATCTTATTCATCTATATACCTACTTCCCAAATGGCACCATCCCATAGCCTCCCCCCTCCCACATACTGGAGCCTACATACTCTGTCATCCTGTTACTGTAGGACATAATTTTTAAAAGTAAAACACCATTAGTCTCTTATTTACATCTAAAGCCCCATTCAGAAATCTCTTCATAGCCTCCAAGATAAAATATGTGATGACTAGAGTAATTATGTTTATGATACTCATGAAAGTTATATGAAATTACATTATCAAAAATTAATAAACTACTAGTAAACTAATAAATTTATAGCTCCAAAATATATAGAAAGACAAAATCTCTAGTTAATAAGTCTCAAAGATGGATTTCTTATTAACATGACTTCTAAAAATAAATCTTAAGGGTCTGGGAATATAGCTCAATGGCTAGAGTGCTTGCCTGGCATGCAGAAGAGCCTGGGTTTGATCCCCAGTATCCCCTCCAATAACTCTTAAAACTTACATTTATTATATCAAATGGAGACCAGTTAGAGTAGACCGCAGGCTTTCCATTTAACCACGTCTCAAAATCATCACTTTGTAACCCAATCCACACATTAGTACTCTGGCCAAAAAGATTCATAGTAATGAAAGCTGAAAAATAGGAATTAATTACTTAATAATACCTTAGAAACCATTTGGGTCACCATCAGTTCTGCTGATAAATAAGATTCTATTTAAATGATAACAAAACTTAATTAAGAATCAATTGTAGGATCATCACTCTGTTCTTGTTAAGGTAATGCCGCTTCTTTCACTTTGGTTTCAGTTTAAATTGACAGAAATTAGCTGGCTAACCTGAGATTTCATCAGGTCATCAGCAAAATAATTTCCAGCGTTCATTTAATACATTTTTAAACAAAAGAGCATCAATGTACTATATTTAAACTGAAGTATATAACTGCCTAAATGTCAAATAAAAGTGTATAGGTAAATCTAAGGTGACCTTAAAAAGCATACCATTCTTGAGAAGTTATTTTAGCCATTTTGAAACATACAACATAAATAAAGGCATATTCTTTCCAGTGCTGCTATCAAGTTAAAGCCTCTAAACTGAGCAGTTTCTTGGTAGTGGACAGACTTATAGAGATGTCATGTCACAAAACCTCAATGCTCAAACTGAAATTTCATGTGTCACCAGCAATACAATATTTTAAATGTTGATTCGAAAAATGCAAGTTTTGGGAGTGACTATTTTAATTACTATTTGGATAAAAGTGGCTGTTTTGGCTTGGTTGAATGCTCCCACTCTACCTTGCTCCAGTTCATTTTCAATGGAAACCAGCGTCCCTCCCTTTTCAGCACAGAAGTCTCGAGCACCTGTCCAGTTCTTCAGATTGCTGGTGTCTTTGGAGATCCTTACCAGGAAGCACTATCAAAAACACCGACACAAAGTGTTCATTTCTGTATTTTTCTAGACATACGTTTTTATTACTTTTAATTATGTGTGTATATGCACATGTGTGCAGGTGCCCACAGAGGCCAGAAGCATCCAAAACTCTGGGACTGGTGGTAGAGGTGTTGTGAACCATCCCATGTGGGTTCATGCTCTTAACTACTGAGCCATCTCTCCAGTCCCCTCACTTCAGTGTTTTTCTAAGTGAACTAAAAATTTCCCAAAGACACTGAAGGTCATCCTTGAAAATTATAATTTTCTTGGGGAAGAAAACTCATTTTTCTTTCAACTGCTCTGTAAGCATTAATGAAGCAGGAAGAGAGCTGCTTTGGAAGAAAGCAATGATTTGTTTCATTTATATCAGGCAGAGCTGAAGCAGGGATGTGTGTCATGTGAATCGTCACAGCAGAGTCTCCTGCTCAGTGGGAAATGGTGCTCTTCCTAAGGAAGGAGGCAGGCTGCTTGTGAAATCTGCAGGAGGAGATTTAGTCTAAGAAGAAACCCAGGAGTAGCATTGAGCAGCTTAGCTCAAATTCATGTACAAGCAGACTTCCTCACTTTAGCTAGAGAGGAATACAGAAAAAGAAATCATATCAGGCATTTAAGTTCACTAGATCCTCAGAGTCAGCCATTTAATCAGAAAGTGCATTGGAAATTCCAGAATAGGAAGAGGGGGGATGAGTCTCCTGGTAGGAGAGGCAAGGGCAAGACTGGGGAATCCCAGGAAGGTGGAGAAACAAAGGCGGTTCACTACCCATGCCAATGTATCCCAAAGGACAGGTTAGGTTTTCACAATGACACCAGTTCTTAAAAAAATTATTATGTCACACCCAAGTAGTGGTCAGAGGCCAACCTTTGGGAGTCGGTTCTCACCCTCCACTGTGGGATCCAGGGATCAAACTCAGGTTGTCAGGCTTATGTGGTAAGTGCTTTTACCCTCTGAGCCATCTCACCGGCCTGAGGCTGATTGTAAATAAAAAGAGGATCATGCCTGAATCATGGCAGAGGTTTCCTTGCTATGAGATGGGATAAGAATCAGAACAATACAATTAGCTTGTCTTCCCTTCGCACTCAATAGAATGTAAATGTTGTAGGCAGATTGGAGTCAGTCAAGAGGGATAAAGAGGACACAAGCTCAAACACTCAGGACAGGTTCCAGAGAGGTAAAGAGAGACTATATATGGGGACTGTGGTTCGAATACCCAGAACCCCCATAAAAAGCTGAGATGGAGACTGGAATCCCTGGAGCTAGCTAGACTAACGCAAAGAGAGAGTTCTTGGCTCAGTGGATAGCAATCGAGGAAGCCATCCAAATCAACTTTGGGTCTCTACACACATATATGCATGTGCACATACATCTACATGTGTGCCCCCACACATGCAAATATACACAATACATTCCTACTACACACATATACATGAATAAAAAGGAAGACCCTCTGATTGTATTTAAGGCCCACTTCAGGAGATCGAACCCATACTTGGCACTGGTGTCAGATCTAAGAACCTGTTGTTAGACAGATGACAGGCCCTAGGGGAAAACCCATTACTAATATTGTACCAAATGCACTTAGTATTAAAATAACTCCTGATGACTTATTGTTACACCCATAGGTTAGTGCATCTTTCAACTCAACCCTAATCAGAGAAGCTTCTTCTTGCAATAGAAACTAATTATCACAGAGACCCATAACTGGTCAATGTGCAGAGGATAAGAGACTACAGAATGCTCAGTCCCAAAGGGACATTAATGTTATACCTTTCCTTCTTCTCAAGGCTGAGGAATCATCACAGAAGAGGGGGCAGAAAGATTGTAAGAGCTGGAGGTGGTGGATGATTATAAGGATGACAGGGAAGCTGTACACGTGAACTCATGGCAATTGCAGCAGTATGACAAGAGTTACTCAAGCTCAAGGCAGCAAAATCCTAGCATGGAGCTGGGAAGATGGGCAGGAAGTCCCACCCCAAGCTGGGGAGGTCTTGGCATTTCGTAGCTGCCGGGACAGGAAGAGTCAGTTTTCTTTAAGGAAACTTCTTTGCTTGTGACCACATTCCAGGGCAGGTACTATACCCGAGTATTTGGGCAACACCTACTGGACTCAAGGGAAAAAAAAAAAAGGAGAAGAAGAACATGAATTTGGGAGGGAGGTGGGTAGATCCGGGAGGGATTGGGAAAGGAGGAATATAGTCAAAATACATAGTATGAAGTTCTCAAAGAATTAATAAAAATACTTATTTTTAAAAAAAGGAAGAAAGAAAAGAAAAAGAATCAAGACCTAGACACTCTAACACATTCTTTCAGGCACCTAGAGCAAACTTGTCTTATTAGAACATTGAACCAGAGTGTGTCCTCCATCTGTGTGACTCTGAATTGAACATGCCCAGAAATGTGTCCATCTTTCCTTCTTAAACCATGATCTTAATCTGAGCACACTCATGGTGTGCTCGCCCAATGAGTGCTCTCCCAGATGAGTAGGTTGCCAAGATTGTCAAGCTTCTATTCCTTGAGGAGAGAATTGCTCAGAGGACAATCCCAGTGCTCTCCTTAATAGATGCAGGCAAGAGGTCTTTCCCACTCTTTTATCTCTTGCTTGTGTTTTTGTCTTAGCATTCTTGAAGATGCAAACTCACTAGGATCAATTACAAACTGACCTTCTCAGGCATTCTAGATTTAGCATAGTGGCCTTTCATATAACACAATTTTATCCCTTGGGATATTTTGACAAAGTCTGAGGGCATTCTTCGTTATTCTTAATTTGGGGAGGGTTATTATTGACATGGACAGATGGGGACCAGGATGCTGAGATACTGCCATGCATGGTCAGATCACTTCACCACAACTAAGAATTATTTAGCCCAAAATGTCTATAGTACCAGGCCATATTTTCCCCAAAACTCAGTCCTGATGTCATTCTTTTGTTTAAACCCCTTGGTTTTTATTTTTTATTTTTTATTTTTTTTTTTTTTACTGCTTTAAAAATAAAATCCCAAACAATATAGCCTGAAGTTGAGTTAGCAATCAAGAGTGCCTTTTTGTGCTCAACATCCTTAGTAATTAGAGAAATGTTTATACAAATCACTTTAAGATTCCATCATACCCCAGAGAACAAAAGACACCAAATGCTGATGAGGATGTGGAGAAAGGGGAACGCTCATTCACTGTTGGTGGGATTGTAAACTCATGCAACCCCTATGGAAAGCAGTGTGGAGAACCCTCAAAAATCTAAAAATGAATCTGCCATATGATCTGGTTATACCACTTGTTGGTGTGTGCCCGAAGGACTCATCTTTAGAGATACCTGTACATCCATGTTTGTTGCTTCTTATCAACGTTATCCCCACACTCTCCCAATAACACCCACCTCCCACCATCCCCCTTCTCCTTATAATGTTCGCAATAGCTAAGAAATGGAAACAACCTAAATGTCCCTCAACTGACCAATAGATAATAAAAATGTGGTACATTTACACAATGGAGTTCGACTCATCAGTAAGAAAAGATGAGATTATGAAATTTGCAGGTAAAAGGATGGAACTAGAGACTGTTACACTAATTGAAGTAACACAAACTCAGAAAACCAAATGACATATGTTCTCCCTCATTTGTGAATTGTAGCACCAATCCCTTATATGTGAATATATATCCTGATGTAACCGTAGGAGCCAGGACAACAAAAAGGAAATACTGAGGTAACGGGAAAGAAAGAGCCTGAAAGGGGGATAGTAGGGAATAGATGTTACCAGGGGGAGGTAGGGAAAGTGGAAGTATTCTGCTGTGAGGGGAGGGGACCATGGTGGTGGGGGATGAGGGAACTAAGGAGAGGAGGGATGGTGGGAGGGGGGTGTTATTGGGGGAGGGTGGGGATAATGGGGGCACTTGAACTGGGGAGGGAGGAGGGAGGTTGGATGGGGGAGAGAGAGGAGAGATGAATGGAACTTGGAGGGCTATGGAAGCCAGAGGGAAATGTGTTGGCTCAAGAACCCCCTGAGAAATGCATATATGGTGTCTGAACATTAGTGCTTGTGTATACCTGGGGGCTGTATGGCAAGGAACACAGTGACAGACAGGAGAGACCTCCCTTCAAGTGGTTGCTTAGAGTAGTCCAAGAGATTCCCCAGATAACACAGGCTATTGCCAGAGCCCTTGGTTACCTCCTAGAACTCGAAGATAAGACCTTACTTCTGAAGACAGGACATACCTCAGACACAGGACTTGGAGAAGCCTTCTTCCTGAAGTCTATTCTCATAGTTCTAGAGGATACTATGCAAGCTGCTAAGGGGTAAAATCAATCAATGGTCCAACCCAGCCCTAAAGCCTAATAATGATAACGACTGGCACAGCAAATTACCTCTATTGGTGCAGTAGTGGCACTGCTATGTAGGGGGTAATCAACAACCATCTAATTGGACTTAAAGCCCTATCAATGGGAGGGAGCTCATGGGTAGCACTGTAAACACAGCCAAATACACATGGCTGGAGAGGGCATAGATCCTAGAGAAAATCTGATCTCTGTCATAGCTCTAGACATATGCTAAATATGGATTCTTATATTTGCAGACAAATACCATACACCACTCATCAAAGAAGCTTGTTTTTGCAAAAGATGGGAGGCTACTGCAGAGTTCCACAACTGGTCACACACAGAGAATATACATCTGAGAGATGCCTACTCCTAGGTGACACACCTTCAGTGGAACCTCTACACCCAAGGCTCATGGAACATAGCAGGACATGCGGTAGAAAGAAAACTAGTGCATCTGTCAACTCTAACCAGCAAAGCTTCCTTATACAGAGTGTGATGCACACACACAGAAACCCACAACTGGCCAAGTTTTAGAGAGTAAGAGACTACAGAGTGTGTGTCCCTGGATAGGACTCCTATATTAACCTTTACTTACCCATGACTCAGGGACCATTGCAGAAGAGGGGTGGAAAGATTATAAGAGCCAGAACTTGTCCATGAACATAGGGAAAT